ATCAGTAAGAACCAAATCATATTTGGCATCATGGAGGCTCTGCATCAGCTTGGTATCCTCAAACATTCCTTCCACCATTTCAAGCACCTTCACATGCATTTGATAAAAATGTGTCATCAGGTCATACTCCATTGATAATCGAGTCCAAAGAGAAGCACCTTGTTGATGCATGTCTAGTATTTTCATAACAAATCCCCCAAAGCGCTCTTCATCAAATCCGGCCGAGGAATTTATAGTGATGGTCTTGTAGTGGGGGGACTCTGACTTGATGTACCAGGTGTCGTTTGGCCGCACCACTGTGACTTCATGACCTCTGGAGTGAAGCTCTGCGATGATGATATTCATGTTGATCCAGTGACTTCCATCCAGTGGGAACACCAAGACTTTCCCTCCATTTACCAACAATGTGGAGCATAGCAGCACTGCAAGTGCCAGCAAGTTTGGATGGCACATCTCTGAAAGAGTCAGACAAAGATGTCAAGATGTTAGATTATTTCTCAAGCAAATGGTTTGAGTTCAAGAGTTTGTATCACCCGAATAACTAATGAGAGATATACCTGAGATAAAGTTTAAGTTGGGAAAATATGGACTGGCCAATATTTAAACTTAACCACTGGATGTCAGATGTATTTGCCAGCTCTGCTTTGGTTTTGACGTCGATAAGATAACAACTTAAATATAAAGGTAAAGATATAGATGTGAATGATTATCTTAAAGTCATGAGCCTCTTACTCACAGCAGTGATCATCCTGGGCAGTTGACCTCATTAGTGATAAGTTAGTGGCTTTGCCGCTAAATGTTCATACCTTTTTAACTTCGTAGTCACAAGGAAACAGCAAAACAAGAAATAACTTATGTATAAATAAAAAATGATCCTCCAAAAGAGCATGAAAGCCCTTCTCTTGATTAGGGTTATGGTGTAATTTAAGGTTTTGGAAGCAGTCCATTATTGTTATTGTCAAATGTTACAATCAGAGAAATTTTGATGACCTTTAGTTGAATTCCACAGTCAACATTCACATAAACTATTGGTCAAAAGTTTTAAAACACTCCCAATTTTTCTATTTTTCTAATTGAAAATTATGAAGTTTAGTGTCTCATTGCACACTGAAATGAAAGCATAGTATAAACAAGCAATTGGAGTTAAAAAAGAAATCATTGAATCAGTTTATAGACAAAATCTATTCTAAACTTTTCACTCATTAAAGTAGCCACTTTTGGCAGATATAACAGCCGAGCACACTTGTGGCATTCTTCCTACAGTAGGAATCAAATATTCTTCACAGAGTTCTTCCCATATGTGTTGCAGAAGTTCCCATAAATGTATGGCCATTGTAGTTTGCTTTGCTTTCACTCTTCTGTCCTTTTCATCCTAAACCAGATCGATGGGGTTTAAGTCTGGAGACTGTGCTGCCACTCCATGTTTTCAAGCTTACCATCTTGTTCTTTTTTCCTGAGGTAGTTATGGCATAGGTTGGACTTATGTTTTGGGTCATTATCTTGCTGTAGGATGAACCTCTGACCAACTAGGCGCAGAAGGTATTGCATGGTGCTGCAGAATGCTGTGGTAGCTGTTTTGGTTCAGGGTGCTGCTCATTCTGTCCAAATCACCAACCCTGGATCCAGCAAAACAGCCCCAGACCATCACACTTCCTCCTCCATTTTGACAGTGGATGGCGCACACTGTGGAACAATCTTTTCACCTACTTGACGGCGTACAAAGATCCTGCTTGATTAACCAAAGATTTCAAATTTTGATTCATAAGTCCATAATACCTTCTTCTAGTTTTCAGTAGTCCAATGGTGGCGTTTCGTGACCTAGGCAAGCCTTTTTGTCTTATTATGACACCTTAGTAGGGATGGGTACCGGTATCTTCTGACATAAACGGTAGTAACTAGACCGAAAAGCAGCGCATATTTCAGTGCTTTTTTTCCCCTGAGATGTCATACACTTTGGATTCTAGCCAATCATTTTACCTTTGCAAGGATAGTAGGCGGGCCCAGATACGTACGTTCTTTTAGAGCAGAGCTACAGATTAAAAATGCCCAAGGCGAAGCGGTCAAAAGTCTGGCTGTATTTCACAGCAAAAGATGCAAACTCAGCAGCTTGCAACAAGTGCTTTATGGTGATACTGTGATACTGTGCAAAGGAGGTAAAACCTCAAATCTGACGACGAACCTGGAGACGCATAGCATTTTTTTAAAAGCCGAAATCCATCATATTTGATAGCTTGCTGCAAGACCTCACACCAAGCACATCTACTGCGGGTGTGGTGCCTGTTATCGGACCTGGAGTTAGCAACATCCCTCAAGAACCCGAAGAGGAGAGTCCCGGCCCCTAGCTCTGCCAGTGTAGCAGAAATGATGACGGATGATGATGGCAGCAGCAGCCGTTCTTCTCTGGGCGAGTAGCTTAATGCTGTTCGTGTGTAATTTATGTTGAGTAGGCTAACCACGTTATTAAATTAATGCATGTAAGGTGAACTAGCAAACACCGTTGTAGTTACATGTGGCTGTCTTCTTGTTTGATGGCAGATACTCCCTTCACCCTGGCCAAAAAGGCTAAAATGTCCAAAGAAAAAGTGGAAAACAGCTAAACATGAGAGGTTTTTGGACAAAGTTTGTGTTTTTCCATTGTTTAAGAACTGCTTCCAGCCCAGAGTGATGCCATATATGCCCTATAGCCGCAGAAAAGGCTAACATTGTTATCTTTTTACAAAAAAACAGCTAAACATGAGAGGTTTTTGGACAAAGTTTGTGTTCTCCATTCCTTAAGCACCAGTTCGAGCTCCGTTTAAGCACTGGCACCATTTCAAAAGTACTGGTTTGGCACCGGTATCGGATAAAACCTAAACGATACCCATCCCTACACCTTAGCAATGGCTTTCTTGCTGCAACTCGTCCTGTCAAACCTGCAGCTCAAAGTCTTCTTTTCATAGTTGAAACTGAGACTTGCTTACTACGACATTAAGCTGTGCTTGAAGCTGTTGTCCTGTGAGCCGCTTATCATTCAAGCTGTTAACTCTCAGAAACTTGTCCTCTGATTCAGTTGTGGCTTTGGGTCTGCCAGAGTAGACCTCTTCCTGTCAGAGTTTGCCCAGTTTCTGAGTGCCTCTTGATGTTGAAGGAAACTGTACTCACTGACACCTTGACTTTCTTTGCAATTTCTCTGTAGGACAGACCTAAATTTTTAATTGTTATGATGGTCTGGCTCTCTTCCACTGTTAATTGTCTTTTTCTCGCCATTTTTGTAGCAACACACTGCTTTCTGCTGTACAATACTGTTCAACTGATGCTCATTAGGGTCTGGTAACACAGTGTGTTCCCACACTGCTTTTATGCAGACAGAGGGGGGTGTAAGTGATCCAGAAAAGTTGGGACACCTGTAGGAATTAATAGCACCAATTTTCAAGGCTTGATCAACCTCCATTGCTGCAGAACAGCTTTAAATTGTTAACCATTTTAGTGTTCCCTGAAGTCTTCTTTAGTTTCAGTAACTAAAAACTTGTATTGATTCAGGTCAAATTAAATAATTTTAGGAAAAGCCAATAAGCGTCTTTATTTTTTATTTGAAAGTGACCAAATATTTGTGTTCTTCAGGATGAGACCAATTTGAGCAAATTCGTGAGCCTTTGCGTTCTTCCAGTAAAGTAGTACAGTCCAATATATCACTTTACTCATATTCTGTTTGCATAGGGTTAATGTTAGGGTTGAGGTCAATGCCGATGACAACTTAGACCTCAAAAAGTTTAAAAGTAAAAACAATAAAAACTTTTCAAATATTTCATGTTTTAAAAAAAGAAAACAAAAAAGTGTACTTCTCAAATCTGACAAAAAAACTTGACTTCTAAAGAAAACTCACACGATAAATCGGTGTCAGATGAAAAACTTTCCTAAATCCTGAATATATGATTCAAGTACTTAAATACGGAGCCCCGCAAGGGACATTGCAGAAAAAAAAAAAAAGAAGAAGATGGACTTCTGTGAGATCTCGCAAAACTTTTGCGAGTGCGGTGTTCCCCCCCAGCTCTAGTGGGCCTCGACCTCCCGGTCAGCTTTGAGCTGGTGGGTAACAGATGTCTCCGAAAACGTCGGTGCACTTTTGCAAATAATTGATGTCTTGATAAAAAGTGCAGATATTTGAAGTTTACACAGCTACATTCATGCCTGTAAATATCTTAAAAGTTTATTTTGTCACCCAGAAAGAGTAATATTAAAACTAAGTAGCCACGAAGGATACACCGACTCAGCCTTCAAATGCGACCTGTGAAGGATTGCAGCCTATTTTGCGAGATTTCACTAAAGTTCATCTTTTTTTTTTCCTCCAATGTCCCTTGCGGGGCTCTGTAGTTAAATGTAGTTAAGTTAAAAATAAATGTAACAATGGAGACATTGCTGTGTATTTTTTTTTTTAAATCAACAAAGTGATCAATTGTGTTCTATGGTAATATGTAATTCAGTGCACCAAAATCGTTGTATTAGATTTCAGCTTACTTTATTTTCTATTCCAGCAACATTTGAAATAGAGTGGGAAAAATATACAGTACACAGTGAATTTCAGCTACTTGCACACTGTTTCTATATTACTGTGAATATGTTGGTCAGGTTACACAAGTTTTTGTTTTTTTTAATAAATTTGAAAAATATCTCCAAAAAAGTCTTGTGAAATTTCTGCAGCAATACATATAATAAAATATATTCTATAGTTGAGCACTGCATGAGGCCAAACTCTTCTTATGTGCTCTTAATAACGCATTAAACATCATCACCATACAGGAGTGAGAAACATTTAATTATCTCCCTGTTTAACTGTTAGACAATTTTAGGAAATGTGGTGATTCTTAAAGTGTTTACAACAGCAAAATATTCAAAATCATATTAATTTAAACCCACAACTCATTCCTTTACTTATTTTCTACTTTGTCACCAAACTTTCCTGCAATGTATTTATGTTTCAAAGTTTCAAGATCCAAATGCAAATAAACAAAAAGACATCTAAAATATGAGTAGACTGAGGTCATTAGAAAATGTGAGGTTTGTATTGTTGCACTGAGCTGCACACACTCAAGGTTGTTACACTACCAGTACAAATTTATCTCTGTTCTTCTCCTGAATAGACAACAGATGGCAAGCATACACAGTTTGTAACACAATCATCATTCCTTTTTGACTTTGTTTCTGTAAAATAACTTACGCAACAGAAACCTGACTGCTGAAATAAAAATGGTAAATACTAGCAAAATAACTGCCAGCAGAAAGGCTGCCACATCGATTGAGTAGTACTGGATGCTGGACATCTTGTAAGACTCCGTCCTTAAGTGCGCCGCTCCTTTGTGCCGCATGACAAACTCGATCCAGAACATGGCTCGGTCCAGCGGTTTCATAGGCTGATCTCTTTGGATGCTGGACAGCTCCTTCATCTTCTCCCTGTAGGATGGTTGGTAGAGTACCTCCTTTAGCGCCTCCAAGAAGTTTTCTTTGTTCACTGTTGCAATATCAAGGACTTTGGCCACACCTCTTGCTTTCATCCTGAAGAAGTTATCAGCCTGGTCAAACATAAGTGGCAGGCCAACCAGGGGCACACCGTGGTAAACGGCCTCCTGTATCCCATTGGTGCCTCCATGGGCCACAAACACTCTGGTCTTGGGGTGACCCAGGAGGTCATTTTGGGGCAACCAGTCCAAGATTCGCGTGTTATTACCAAGGGTGGATGGTCTTTTGCCTTTGTGCCTCCAAATCACCTTCTGAGGAAGTTCTGCAAAAGCAGCAGCAATGTCTTCAGCGATGTCCTCTGGAAGTTCTTCTACCAGCGTCCCCAGTGTCATCACAATGACACCATGTTCACCTGAACTCTGCACAAAGTCCTCTAGCTCTTTAGACAGGGGCTTGGAGGGTTTGCACTGAAATCCTGACATGTAGACAACATTTGGCATTGTGGGTCGAGGGAACTCAAAGGTGAAATCGTTTCTCATCAGCCAGATGTCTGCTGACTGAAACAGCTCCATGTAATGTACATCACTGCCAACATGACGATGGACAAATGGTTTGTAGTTTGGTTCTGTGACGTACCAAATTTGAAAACATGTGAAGAAAAAGTAGAGCATATTCTGGACACGCTGAATGAAAGTCATCTTGTCAGTCAGCTCTGACCCTGGTATGGGGATGTAAGAGAGTGGGGAAGGTGCAATTGCTAGATGGCCTTCACCCTGAATAGTCCATCGGACATTAAAGACAAGTGGAAGACCCAAACGGTGAGCCATAAGAACACCTGTACCAATCGTAGGATCAGTCAGAACCAAATCATATTTGGCATCACGGAGGCTCTGCATCAGCTTGGTATCCTCAAACATTCCCTCCACCATCTCAAGCACTTTCTTATTCATTTCATAAAACTCTTTCACTAAATCATATTCCATTGATAAACGTGTCCAAAGTGAAGCACCTTGTCGACGCATGATTAGTGTTTTCATAACAAATCCCCCAAAACGCTCTTCATCAAATCCGGCCGAGGAATTTATAGTGATGGTCTTGTAGTGAGGGGACTCTGACTTGATGTACCAGGTGTCGTTTGGCCGCACCACTGTGACTTCATGACCTCTGGAGTGAAGCTCTGCGATGATGATATTCATGTTGATCCAGTGACTTCCATCCACAGGGAACACCAAGACTTTCCCTCCATTTACCAACAATGTAGAGCATAGCAGCACTGCAAGTGCCAGCAAGTTCGGATGGCACATCTCTGAAAGAGATTCTGACAAAAATGTCAAGATGTTAGATTATTTCTTAAGCAAATGGTTTGAGTTCAAGAGCTTGTATCACCCTAATAACTAATGACAGATATACCTGAGATAAAGTTTAATTTGGGAAAATATGGACTGGCCAATATATAAATTTGGAGGTCAGATGTATTTGCCAGGTCTGCTTTGGTTTTGGCTTTTAAGATAAAAACTCAGATTTAAAGGTTAAGTTATAGATGTAGATTATTATCTTAAAGTCATGAGCCTCTTACTCACAGCAGTGAGTATCTCCTACTGTTGATCTCATTATTGATAAGTTAGTGACTTTGCCGCTAAATTTTCATACCTTTTTAACACCGTAGTCACAAAGAAACAGCAAAACAAGAAATAACTTCTGTATGACTAAACAATGATTCCAACAAAAAACGTGAAACTTGTCCTCTTGATTAGAGTTCATTTCAAACGTTACAATCAGCTAAACCTTTTTGTACTTGATTTGAATTCTAGAGTCAACATTTATATATGTAAACTTCGTTGATTCTTATGAATATTCATGTTAAACATTTAATCTTTTACTTTTTGTTTTTAAATATGACTTTGCTCATTATCTGCAGTAATGTTTTCTTTTAAGAGATAAGTTAAAGTTTGTGTTCCTTCAGTAAATAGAGGCTGACAAGAAGTTTGGGAGCTAGAGACGAGCATGTTGCACAGTAAAGGTGATTGTGGTGTGGAACCCCAGACTGTTCATATGATCTTAATTAAAGTGTAAATATGAGGGAAAAAAGGCAGAATTCACTGTAACATTTGAAAAAAATAAATTAAATTTAAAAAAAAAATAATGAAATGCGGGTGAATTTGAAAAACTAAAGTGAAACTCTAAACACTACACAGCAAATCCAGCATGTCCAAATTAACACTGTCGGATTTGATTTCAACACTATTAAAGTGTCTATATGGGTCCACACCAGAGAGTGTTAATTTAACTCTTTTTGGAGAGTTGGTACGTTAACTCTGATTTAGTGTTAAACACCAAATCTGTCTGGAGTTGATAATTTAACACTGGGTGTTAAGAGTTTATATATTAACTCTCAAAGAGTATTTTAGTTTAACTATGTAAGAGTTATCTTCTAATTCATTCTAAAAAGCAGGAATTTTACTGTTCTGAACTTCTAGAAATTTCTTTTGGAAATAAACATTTACTAAAAAGATGCAATGGTTTTTGAAAAACATTTATTCTGAACTGTGCACCACAATTTCAAAACATTTTCTGAAAGATGTAACAGTATACATGTTCTCACTTTCATTAGAATTTTGTTTATCAAAAGGTCTGACATGGTAAATGCAAATAACAGCATTCTCATCACTTATTTCTTCAATACAATATGCATGTCCTTCATTCATCCCTTTGTGGAACTTCAACGCACTTCTGCTCTCCCCCATATTCCATCTTCACAAGCATATCCTGTGCGGAGATTGAATAAAAATTAGTTGACACTAATTAACGGCCCAAATAATCCAGTAAACAATTGCAGCACAGTAAAAAAAAAAAAAAAAGGAATCCTCTTTGAGCCATTACTTGTGTAAAGTATTTTCCCAAAAGACAAAGACACAGGCAACAGGTATACTGAACTAAATGTAAAACCTCAACCTTTTTCATTTTTACCTAAACCGTGTGCACAAAACTCTGGAGGGATCTATGCTAACGTAGAATCCAGTCAGGACGTCAGCTACTGCTGTTTGCTCGTTTTTTTTTTATGGGCGATCGTTTTCAGGCTTCAAGTAGCACCATTATACCAACATTTCACATTCTAGACATTGTTTTAGGTGTATTTGACCAAAAGTTTGACTGAAAATTCACATGCAAGCTTTTTTTCAAGGCTGTGGTATTTGCCCGCAAACAATACCTTTCAGCTAGCTAAAACAGAATATTATGCTATCACCGAGCAATATGGCTACTGCCTTCCACACAGCTTTGTCTCAACTCCAAAGAGCCACAGAAGTAAAAGCTCATAATAATAATTGAAACAATCTTTGAAAAAATGACTTACCAAGCATGGCAAACAACTCGAATATGTAGAGCAAAATGTTCTGAAACGGCTTCACTTCAGCTTCGATTGGAGCCGTGCTGGGGGCGGAGTCTGTGAATTTACTCTGTTGGTGTCATAGCCCCTCTAGGAGTTCAGAGTTAAGAGGTCAAGAGTTAATGTTTCCATTGTAACACCTCCAGATTTGACATAGAAACACTCATTTTTAACACTCGATTTTAACTACTATCATTTTACACCTCAGAGTTACATTAAAAGAATGTGACTCTGCTTAGAGTAAAATTAACTCTACTTTTGCAAGAAGACTATTAACACCAAAACATTTAACACTTTTGAATTTGCTGTGTATGAGATTGTCCTACAAGTCTTCTTTGGTTTCAATAACTAAAAACTTGCATTGATTCAGGTCAATTTAAATAATGTAAGGAAACACCGATAAGCTTCTTTATTTCTTATTAGAAAGTGATGGAAAATTTCTGTTCTTCAGGATAAGACCAGTTTGAACAAATTCTTCAGCTTTCACGTTCTTCCAGTAAAGTGATACAGTCCAATACTTCACTTTACTCACGCAGCAAATAAGACATTAGTGGTTCATGAAAGGTAATCACGTTAAACCTAACCCTTCATAGTTTTTCATATATCGTCAGTGAGAATGTTTAGTAGTTTTTCGTCTGATGATCAAAACCTTAGGAAACAGTTTTAAATAAATACTACTCGGGGTTGGGGGTCATTGCTGATGATGACTTCGACCTCAAAAGGTTTAAGAGTAAAAACAATAAGAACTTTTAAAATGTTTCATGTAACAAAATGGTAAAGCTGAAACTTGACAAAAATAGTGACTTCAATTATCCCTCAATGAAAAAAGAAAAATTGCATAATAAATAGGTGTCAGATGGAAAACTTTAATAAATCCTGAATATATGTTTTAACTAGTTAGAGAGATACTCCCTACAGCTTATGACAAAATTTGATCCGATTTGATTGATGGCCCTAATCATGACCTTTTGACCTCCCCCCTCCCCCCCCGGAAGTGTGTAATTTGATCCCCTAAGCGTGACGAATTGCATCCGGAGAAGGGAGGGGGAAACCCCGGAAGCGCGCCACCTGTCCCTAAGCGTGACGAATTGCATCCTGAGAAGGGAGGGGGAACCCCCGGAAGCGCGGCACCTGTTGTTGGGAAAAAAAAGAAAAAAGTTTTTAGAGGGAGGAGAATAAAAGCAGAGAGGAGGAGCACAATTTCTAAGGCACAGACGCAAGATGGATTTCCTTCTGCAGCCCAGCAGCGCTCCTGTGTACTTGGACGGCGAAGAAATCTGCTCTCCCAAAGAAGGCTTTGAATATGACATATTCAAATACAGCATATTTACTATGGAAGGCCTCGATCCGGACCTTATGACCCTACCGGAAATACTCCGGAAGTGTCTAGTCATTTTCAGACCTGATGCGTCATGTTCCCTAAGCGTGAGGGGAGGGGTATGGTTGCTGGGGGGAGATCAGAGAGGGTTCCTGAAGCACAGCGGTGACGCAGCAGTTGACTCTGTGCTGTATAGAGAGACAGAGCGGCAGTTAGTTTTCCACAAACTCATAGTTTGAATTCTGTTTCAATATTATGACAATTTTCTCTGTATTTCTTTTTTTTTTTACAATAGCGGATGTAATTTTACTTTCTTAAGCTGCACCGGCGTTTGTAATGGGAATAAAGAGTGACTTCCTGTAGAGAACCGTTTCTTTCAATAGTATTTTATTTTCCTATAATACAGACGCAGTAAAAAAACCTTTAAGATACACCATAGCTTGTGATGAAAAGAAGAACTTTCTATCCGCTTGTAACCTACAGGCTGCCTATGTGTAAAAATGAATAAATATCCCTTAGTGAATACTACTTTTCCCTTTGAGAGTCCTTTTTACAAGAGACTGAAAAACAAACCATAATAGCCGTGACAGGAGCTCTTGTTTCACACACACACACACACACACACACACACACACACACACACACACACACACACACCCCGCGGGTCAAGGAGGAATGAGACAGCAGATATCAGTTTTTTCTCAATGCTTATAACCTATAACGCGTCCTCCAAAAAATTATTATTATTATTAAAACATCTATATGAGGTAGGTTTTGCGCAGCCTGCTCCTTGGTAGAGTTTTTTTCTTCATTACTTTTACAATGGGTTTTCTCAATAGACAGAAAATGATGACGCTGAGGAGTCAACAGCCGATATTATCATTGCTTGTAACCCGGTAAATAATTTCGTACATCTCCCCATAAAATAAGCCTTAGTGGAAAAAAGCTCATATTAGGGGGCAGGGATAGCTCAGTAGGTAAAGTGGTCGCCCCATGATCGGAAGGTCGGCGGTTCGAATCCACTTAACGGCTACCCTGAGGTACCCCTGAGCAAGGTACCGTCCCTACACACTGCTCCCCGGGCGCCTGCTTAGTGGGCTGCCCACTGCTTCACTGAGTGAATGGGTCAAATGCAGAGAAAAACAAGTAATTTCCCCATGGGGATCAATAAAGTATCCATTATTATTATTATATTGGAATAAGTTTATTCCCCTCTGTGAGAA